GAATTCAAAAAGATTTACGGGTCCCGCGGTAACTCAGTGCTTAAACTCAGTTGAAAATGGACGAACCTGATATACTCTAGTTCGTTCCCGTCGCGGGGCGATAGGAAAGGTATCCAACCTTAGTTCTCCATCTTCAACCTGTTTGTGGGGATTAATTATGAAACGGAGAGCCACCCAAATAATATTCACTGTTCATAACAAGAAATCTCTCTTTTCATAAGCGAGGGCCACAGTCCCCATTTTAAGAAGGTGGCTGAGTCAAAGCACATACAAATTCACCTTTATTTTCACGCACTGCAAACATCCATCTCTCTTCTTACACAGTTTCAGAGAACCCAGTCGCTAGGGTTCTTGTTACAGTTTTCCCACCAGAACCCCCTCGTGTGTCTTGACTCCTCATGGGGGGAAAATGAGACTAGGAGATTCCCAGACCCATTGTTCCCCCCATTTAGATATTTTTTGCGACACGTAGGGGAACACGGAGGCGGTATTAAAAAATGTATCTGATGTAACTTTATTTTTCATCATCAAAAATAAGATATGCACTCAATACATAGCGAATATATACATTTCAAAAATATACAAAGGTATGCCATCTATTTTAACACATACATACTTACATACATACATACATGCATACATACATACATGCGTGCATACATAGCCTACATACATACATACATACATACATACATACATACATACATACATACATACATACATACATACATACATACATATATACATATGTATTTGGTATAAAGGGAACATCCTCCCCTTTGGTCTCAGATGGTGGGTTTCCTGTTCTTTTCCGTTGTTCTACTTTACATTCCCCTGCCTCCTCTCTCTCTCTCTCTCTCTCTCTCTCTCTCTCTCTCTCTCTCTCTCTCTCTCTCCTCTCTCTCTCTCTCTCTCCTCTCTCTCTCTCTCTCTCTCTCTCTCTCTCTCTCTCTCTCTCTCTCTCTATCCATTTATCTATCAGTCAGTCAGTCAAACAGTCAGTCTATCTATCTATCTACCTACCTTCCTATCTATCTATCTATCTATCTATCTATCTATCTAGCTAGCTAGCTAGCTATCTATCTATCTATCTATCTATCTGTTTGTCTCTTATTCCTCATCCTTATTCACATCTCTATTCTATTTGTTCTTCTCCATCCTCCTCCTCCTTCTCTTTCTTCCCTTCACCTCCTCCACTCCATAACTTCTTTCTTATTTCAGTTTTTCATGTTCTGTCCATTCTCCACCTCCTCTTCCTCCTCCTCCCCTTCCTCCTCCTCTTCCAGCTATTTTTGTTATTTCAGTCCTTATCCTCTCTCCTTTCTTTCTTTCTTATTCATCTCCCATATCCTCCTCGGTCATCCTCCTTTATTCATCCTCCTCCTTTTCCATTCTCCTCCTCCTTCTCCGCCTTCTTTTTCATCCTCCTCCTTCTACTCCTACGCTTACTTTTCCATTTTTTTCTTCCTTTTCCATCCTCTTCCTCCTCCTTCTCCTCATCTATCCTCTTCCTCCTCCTACGCCTCCTTTTCCATTCTGCTCTTCCTCCATTGCCTCCTTTTCCATCCCCCTCCTCCTCCTACGCCTCCTTTTCCATCCTTCTCTTCTTCCTTTTTTTCTTCTTTTCCATCCCCCTCCTCCTCCTTCGACTCCTCTTCTATCCTCTTCCTCCTCCTACGCCTCCACTTCCATCCTTCTCTTCCTATATTGCCTCCTTTTCCATCCCCCTCCTCCTCCTCCTACGCCTCCTTTTCCATCCTTCTCTTCCTCCTTCTCCTCCTTTTCCATCCTCTTCCTCCTCCTCCTCCTCCTCCTCCATTTACCATGACGATGACAACGGGATTACCAGCTTACCATCTTCATCCTTCTTTTAGACACCGTTGTCACAGTCCTGAATATATGTGACTTTAATATCATTGTTTTTCACCCTACTTTGCCTCAGGGATCATAATAATTAATAATAATAAAATGTATAAAATGCATAATAAAATGTATAATAAAAAGTATACAGAGGTATTCTTGTAGCATATATACATTCGTACAACACTTAATAGTGTACATAACCTCAAAGTCTTCCCATTGTAAATCTAAGGTAAAAGATTCTCCAATATTATTCACTTTGTAAATGTTAGTCACCGTGGCTCAAGCGGTAGCGTCCGCGACTCTTAGGCGTCAGGTCGAGGGTTCGCGCCCCGTCACGGTCTGAGGTTAGCAAGGACATGGACTCAAGGTAACGATTACACCTGCCAAAACAAGTCCTTCGCAAGAGGGCAGCCGTCCTAGCCCTTGGTAGAAAAGGGAGTCCGTGACGTAAAACCGGAAATTCCCTTTGTAAATGTTGGACAGAATGCCTTCGTCATTTATAACATTTCACGAGTAAACATAAACTCAAATTTTTCTTCAAAATATCGTTTGTAAATGGGCCCAGAATTTCCTCTTTATTTACAATATTTGCCAGTAAGCGAAAACTCATATTCTTTAAAATGTCGTTTGTAAATGAGCCCAAAATTCCCTCTTCATTTACAATATTTGCCAGTAAAGGTAAACTCAAATTTTTCTTCAAAATGTCGTTTGTAAATGGGCCAAGATTTTCCTCTTCATTTACAATATGTGCCAGTAAGCGTAAACTCAAATTTTTCTTCAAAATGTCGTTTGTAATTGGGCCCAGAATTCCCTCTTTATTTACAATATGTGCCAGTAAGCATAAACTCAATTTTGTCTTCAAAATGTCGTTTGTAAATGGGCCCAGAATTTCCTCTTTATTTACAATATTTGCCAGTAAACGTAAACTCATATTCTTCTTTAAAATGTCGTTTGTAAATGGGCCCAGAATTCTCTCTTTACTTACAATATTTTTCAGTAAGCGTAATTTCATATTCTTCAAAGTGTCGTTTGTAAATGGGCCCAGAATTCTCTCTTTATTTACAATATTTGCCAGTAAGCGTAAACTCAAATTCATCTTTAAAATGTAGTTTGTAAATGAGCCCAGAATTCCCTCTTCATTTACGACATTTCACGAGTAAATGCAAACTCAAATTTCTCTTCAATATGTTTGTAAATGGGGCCATAATTCCCTCTTCATTTACGACATTTCACGAGTAAATGCAAACTCAAATTCTTCTTCAATATGTTTGTAAATGGGCCCAGAATTCCCTCTTCATTTACGACATTTCACGAGTAAATGCAAACTCATATTCTTCTTCAATATGTTTGTAAATGGGGCCAGAATTCCCTCTTCATTTACGACATTCCACTAGTAAATATATGCCACCGTCGGTGTCAAACATTCATTGGATCTTGGAATATTTGATAAGGTTTCAAAATCATTCATAACCGAAGAGAATTTCTGTACAAACTTATGAATCTCTAAATATTCCACGTTATGTATTCCAATATCTCTAGGGAACCGCCGTAGCATAGTGACAATCCCGGGTTCAGTCCCATCGCGGGGCTTTAGGAAGGGTTCCAGCTTTAATTTCCCGGCTCTAATGTGTTTTTGTCCCCCCCATTCGAGTGGGGACTAATTATGACATATTAAATAGGTCTATGTGTCTTCAAATTTCTTTGAATTACTATCTGTATATGGTAATGGGTGGGTTCTCTCCATGTAAGAATTTGAGCGTCCTCTGTCTCCCATAGTTCATTATCTCTTTCTCTCTTACTCGGCAATTGAATAGGGTGGACCGAGAGGACTGAATATCCTTCTCATTCTAATATACTTCCGTGAATAGCCAAGGCCTACGAGAGGATTCTGGTAAGATATTTCCAACCAGAACACTAGTAATTGGGAAATTGGTAGCATGTATGTGAAGAAAGATTGATGTGTTAGCTTCAAGTAAAATAAAGCTGAATGGATGAGTGCTTTGACTCGGCCACCCCCTTACAGGAGGGATTACTGTCTTAATGTTTAGATAAAGGTAGAGTATTATAGTTATTTTATCTAATGCATGAAATATCGAGAGGAGAGAGAGAGAGAGAGAGAGAGAGAGAGAGAGAGAGAGAGAGAGAGAGAGAGAGAGAGAGAGAGAGAGAGAGAGAGAGAGAGAGAGAGAGAGAGAGATGACGATATTCCTTACCTTTAGCTGTTGCCATTGTCAACATTAATATAACTGGCAAAACTCGGCAGATATTTCTGGAGAGATTATTATTAACCAAGAAAGACATCTTCTCTTGCCGTTGCGGTTCTGTTCCTGCTGAGAAACAAAAGTGAGAGTTAAATATAAGTCAGTTGCTATGAAATAGTTAAAATTAATTAGTGGAGTATCTTAGTTTTTTTCGAGTAAGCTTTATTCATCTTCAGAGTTGTCTCTGAAGATTAGTGAGGTACGCTCGAAAACGCTAAAGTACTTTATTGTATAATTTGGATACCATATATATATATATATATATATATATATATATATATATATATATATATATATATATATATATATATATATATATGAATAATTTTTACCCCGACCAGAACTTGAACCTAGGACATATAATTACTATGCCAAGGCGCTACCAAATACACCTTGGCATAGTAATTATGTGTCCTAGGCTCAAGTCCTGGTCGGGGTAAAAATTATTCATGTTTTCACACATGGTAATATGCTTATTTGATATATATATATAAATATATATATATATATATATATATATATATATATATATATATATATATATATATATATATATATATATATATATATATATATATATATGAATAGGCAGTGAAGTATCTTAGCGCTTTCGAGTACATTTTGCTCATTTTCAGAGTCGTCTCTGAAGATTGAAAAACACTCTTAAACGCTACTAAAGTACTTTTTTATTTTATTTTTTATTTTAACGGTAATAAAATTATGTAATTACAAAAGGAACAATGAAGCATTGGAACGTATTAGCGCTTTCGAGTAAGTTTTACTCATGATCAGACTTTTCTTTGAAGATGAATGAAAGACAGTCGTAAGCGCTAAGATACTCCTTCATCATTCATTATATATATGTATAATTCACGG